GTTTTGTGAGCACGAAACCTGGTTTCGTGCGAGGAACCGTGGTTTCTCGAATTATGATACAAATGGCTTGCCATACACGCACACTCACACAATCTGAATAAGTAAATCCATCACAAGGCAATATGATTTCTACCTAGATCAAATAACATGTGCAGAACCCACGCGCACACGCGCACAATCGGTATAAGTAAATTCATCAAGAGGCAATATGATTTCTACCTAAATAAAATAACATGTGCAGAAACCGCACGCACACGCGCACATACACTCACACAATCTGAATAAGTAAATCCATCACAAGGCAATATGATTTCTACCTAGATAAAATAGCATGTGCAGAAACCACGCGCATGCGCACACGGACACGCACACGCACGCACATACACACACACAATCTAAATTAGTACACTCATCAGGAGGCAATGTGATTTCTTCTTGGATCTGCCTGGTGTTGAGACCTGAAAAAAGAAAAGTTATTGTGGTAAACAGTATAATAGGTTTTCGATTACTTCTAAGTTTAAATATCTTGAGTAACGCTCTTCCGTCACACCGCGCAACGCTCTTCCGTCACACCCTGCAGCATTCTTCTCTCTCTCTCTCTTGTCTTTTCTCGCTCAGGCTTCTCTCGCTCATTCTTCTCTCTCTCTCTCTCTCTCTCTCTCTCTCTCTCTCTCTCTCTCTCTCCTCTCCTCGATGAGATTGTTTAAAAGATGTAAAGACAAGAAAGTAAAACTACTGGTTACCACTAAACGACGGCAATAGTTTTGTGGTCAACTTTATTCGAACAAGTTCATTGGGTGGACTACGTACCATGTAAAAATACGTGCAATACATAAACATTATTCATTAGCGCCTACACATGAATACGCATGGATACACATCCGGGGTGAATAAAAAAAATTTTTTAAACACCCCACACAGTATTCAGCCATTAAGCCAACAGCTCAGCTTATGTTTGCTCAGCTTGTTAACAGGCGCGCAACGTTACGCGTTTAAAAGATGTAAAGACAAGAAAGTAAAACTACTCGTTACCACTAAACGACGGCAATAGTTTTGTTGTCAACTTCATTCGAACAAGTTTATTGGGTGGACTACGTACCATGTAAAAATACGTGCAATACATATAACATTATTCATTAGTGCCTACACATGAATACACATGGATACACATCAGGGGTGAATAAGTATTTTTTAAGACACCCAACACAGTATTCAGCCATTAAGCCAACAGCTAACTTCATGACATGGCACTATAGGACCAACATGATGGGCGCAGCGTTATTTTGCCAACCGTTTATCATACAACCAAATTCCACCGTTAAAGAAATGCACGGACAATGCTGAGCATGGAATAATGTCAAATGCCAAATTATGACAAATAATAACAAATAATAACAAATAATGACATATTTGTTATTATTAACCCCTGATTATATGAATTTAGAGGATGTGGAGAATAGATTATATGGGGGAGGAGAGTCTAGCGTGACATGCATGGTGGTATTTTGTTGTGCACTAACAATTCTGTAAAGTTGATGAGACTGAGGGAGAAGGGGAGGAGGACGGGGAGAACAGACGAGGCGTGGGCAGAAGGGAATGAGGGTCTAGTGCATTTGCTCCCAAACTTTTTTCTCTGGGCCGTACTTTCGGAATAAAAATTTGCTCGCGGGACCCCGAATTTTTTATTGATAAGAAATACATTCAAAAACGAAAAACAACAACTAGCAGTGCATGATTCATAACATAAAATGTATGTAATGCAAATAAAAAATTGGAGGAGGGAAGGAGTGGCAAGCATGGTGGTATTTTGTTGTGCACTAACAATTCTGTAAAGTTGATGAGACTGAAGGAGAAGGGGATGAGGACGGGAAGAATAGACGAGGCATGGGCAGCAAGGGAATAAGAGTCTAGTGCACTTGTTCCCAAACTTTTGTCTCTGGGCCGTACTTTCGGAATAAAAATTTGCTGAGACGGGAGGGAGAAAGGGGAAAGGGACGGGAGGGAGAAAGGGGAAGGGGACGGGAAGGGGGGATATATGGGGAAAATAAATGATACGGGAGGAGGGTCTAGATTGACTAGCATGGCGGTATTTTGTTGTA